GGGGTCCAAGTTTGTTGTATGCGTTCGCGAGGGGGGGTTGTGCGAATGCGTAGAAGAAAGTTTCCGGGGGACTAACTCTGAGCTATGCGAAAGCGTTGGTACCACGCGAACGCGATGAAGGAGAAAGTCAGAGCTATGCGAACGCGAAGGCGGGCTGCGTTCGCATAGAACAAAATCTGGTCTACAACATTATGAAAAATCTGATGCCTCTTCTAAGTGGAAAATCACCCCGAACCACCTCCGAATCACTCCCGAGCCCTCGGGGCTCCCAACCAAACACACACACTAACTCAATAACATCCTACGAACCTAGTCGAGCGATCAAATCGCCAAAATAATATCAAAATCAACGAATCAAGCCTTAAAATCATCATTTTCATTTCAAATTTCATAAACCTATAACTTTAGATATTTAGGTTCGAAGCACGTCAAACGACGTTCGATTTCGACCAAATTTCATAGAAAGCGCTTAACGCATATTTAAGGCCTGTACCGGGTGTTGAAACTAACATACGAGCCCGATTCCTATATTTTCTAACTCATTTTCCTTTCACAAAATCCATATTATTTTCGGAAAAATAATATCTTTCAAAAATTCATTTCTCGGGCTTGGGACCTCGGATTTCGATTCCAGGAATACGCCCGAGTCCCATATTTTTCTACGGACCCTCCGCGACCGTCACATCATGGGTCCTGGTCCGTTTACCCAAAATATTGATCGAAGTCAACTTTATGTAATGACCCGACCCGTCATTTATTTGCATTTCAGTCCCGTTACCCCCGTAATATGCTTCCCCGTGTGTTGTTATTCGTGTTTGATGAGTTTGAAGTGGTGCGGGTGGAAATTAGATAGAAATGAGACACTTAGTCTCTTTAGGAAAAGCTAAAGTTGGAAAAGTCAACCCAACGTTGACTTATGAGTTAGAGGGCTCGGAACGGATTTCCGATCGCTCGACTAGTTCCGGGGGATGATTCATGACTTAGAAGAGAAAAACGGAATTTAATTCGGAGGTCCGGTGTGAAAGTTAGCCAAGTTTGCCGAAGTTGGAAATTTGGAAGAATCCGGTTGATAGGTCAAAATTTGATCCGGGGGTCGGAATGAAATTCCGACAATTGCACTAGCTCCGTTAGGTGATTTCGAACTTGTGGGCAAATTTTCAGCTAATTCGGAGAAGTCTAAGTCGGGTTTTTGATCGGATTTGTATTATGAAAGTTTAAGTTCATTTAGAGTTTAATCCGTTGATTTTTGATGATTTTTGATGTTTACGATAGTGTTTTTATGGCCCGAGCAAGTTTGAAGGAGGTAGTAGGTTGAGTTTGTATTTTTGGTTGAGGCCCCGGGGGCCTCGGGATGATTTCGGGTGGTTAACGGACTAGTTTCCGGTTGAAAAGTGCAGCAGAAAACTGCCCAGATGTTGTAGACGCATTTCCTCTATGCGATCGCATAGAGGGTGATGCGATCGCATAGGAGGCTGGGCAGGGGGTCTTGATTTAACTCTCTGCGATCGCGTTTCGGTGTATGCGATCGCGTAGGAGGTGAGCTTTTCCATCTCTGTGATCGCAGAGATATTGGTGCGATCGCGTAGGCCTAAGACTTGAAGCTATGCGATCGCAGGCTGTATGGTGCGTTCGCATAAGGCAAAATAAGGGGGCCTGAGAGTCTACTCTATGCGATCGCAGGGTCTCGTCAGCGATCGT